CAAGGAGAATTTTTTTTCATTTTAGTGAGACAGAAATACTCTCCACTATTGAATGGCATCTCCAGAGCATCCGGGAACTTTAATCATTTGTCCTTTTGATATCCGTGGTGGAGGTGCCTACCAGAGCAGCATTGTTACTTAGCAGTGCTGGTAGGGCTTTTCCATTACTTCAGGCCTGAGGAATATTTACACTTTAAAAAGTTATGATATTTAAAACATATTTACTCTAAATTTGTGCTGCTTTGCAGCTTTTCCATGCTCTGATTGCAAGAGCAGAAGGAGAACTAGCCACAGGATTTAAGTGAAAGGGTTTGTCTTTTCCAAGGGAAATCACTTTTCATTTCAGTCTTAGTCAAATTTTGGACATGGTTTTCCCAGTGATTTGGGATGAAATACCAACAAAAATCCTCTCTGGCCAGCTCCAATAGTAAGTGCAAAAATAGAGCTGTTAACATGATACATGGTAGCTTTGACAGCAGCAACCATTTCCTTTTTGTGTAATATTACAAGAAACCAAGCACTGAGTGTTTTGAATGACCTGACACTTTTTTACACTTCATAACACTTTTTACACATGAGGTCATCCTAAATTCTTGCTTTAAGGCAGAAAAATATCATTTCCTGATGTGACAATGAACATAATCAAGTTCTTTACAGTTCTGCCAGGGCTGGTAAGGAGCCCAGATCACAATATCAGAAGTCTTGGCTTTTTAACCAAACTCACTGATGGGAGCACAAAACCCACTGATTGTGCTCTTTAATCATCAGCAGCATTTCCTTTTGGAGCGGGGTGGAAAGCCGGGGTCTGGATGGGAAGGGGCCAGCTGGGGCTGTCCCTTGCTCTCTGGAGGCAGTGACCCATCCATGTTTGTGGGTTCAGAGTCCCTGCTCCCCAGAGCTGCCCCTGAGCAGGGTCTGGAGCCCCCGGGAGCCGGGCTGGAACAAGCCTGGAGGACGTGGAGGCTTCATCTCCTGCTCTGGGGGCTCAGCAGCCTTCGGGCTCCTGCCTTCCACGCGTCTCTGTTGGATTTTGTGGAACATGAGATGGTTGAATAACAGCTCTGCTTCCTCAAGAATCAAACAATAAATGACTTTATTGTGCTTTTATACTCTTTGCTATTTGTATTATCAGTTTCAGTAAAATTTATATTGAATCGTAGAGAGAAGCCAGTTATTCCTTTCTGTTGTTGTTTTGCAAGAAGCCCTTCTTCTGTTCCTTCGGTGCTTCTTGCCAAGGCATGGTTCTTTTCTTAAATTAGCAAAATGCTAATTTTAATTGCAAAGTGCAATTAAAAACTACTTTGCATATGTGTGGGGAAGTTCAGGAAAATATTGGGGCTCATGTACCATGTGCTTGACTGCAATATTTAAACCCATCATAGCTGGTCCAGCCATTCTCATACAATGTTTTCTAAGTTCTGCCATTCGAATCAAAATAAATCAGTACTAGACTATAGTGGAATAGAAGCAGCTCCTGGGTCATTCTGCAATATCAAGATGACCAAAACTGTCTGGAACACTTGTGTAGTGACTTTGTGTGTCACAAAAATGTATTTTTGTGTTTCCTTCATTCTTTTAAAAAAGAGATTTCACACCTGCATTGGTTCGTTGTAAATACTTAGCATTATTTTCTGAGTGAAACCAGTATTTTTCTCTCATCAGTTAGTGCAGCCTGAGATCAAAGCTGCACAATCTTAGTTACTGGGGCACAATGCAGTGTGTTGGCAAACACGTTGGAACAATTTCCAGTAATTTTGGCTAAGTCTTAAGAGGAAGTGGAAAGTAACACAGATTTACTGAAAGGGCTACACATTCCCTTACATGATCTGGAAAACAAGACTTCACACCAGAAGGTAATTGCAGTGAGCATCCAATAACAAAACCTGAAATTTAATGTTCTTTTCCCCTCTTGCTGTGGTAAGAAAAAATGATGCCTTATATCTATTAGTCTCCACTGCAAATACTGTGATTTTGTTCTAAAGAAGCTTTTGTATCGCAGCAGAGAAATAAAACTCTCTTCATGTTACACAAATTATTTGGTCTCACCAAATTTTCCCTCTGAACAGCCTCAAAGTTAATAACATTTTGATCTCTGTGTTAACATCTTGGAAATTGCTCAGGGAGCCGAGTTATTTACATTATTTGGAGAAACAACAAATTTTAGCCCTGGAGAATCTCGAGGGCGGAGTCAGCCCTTGTTTGTGGATTTGGCTTTGCCGGGTCCCCGCGGAGCGGTTCCCAGAGCCC